CACAGCAGTGAGGAGTAGAATGGCCAGTAGTACACCTTGCTCTTGCCTACGTGTCTGTGAAGGTACTAGCAATTTTATTTGCCCTGTTACCCCGAGAGAAAAGGCAGAAACATCTTAGTATGTAACTGTGAAAATAGTTTTTTACCTCATCAGCCCCTGACAGGTCTTGGGCACCTCAGAGTCCTCAGAGCTCCTATGAGAACCACTGGCCTAGATCTGGCAGGATGTAACCCTTCATCTAGGGTGACCCTTCTGTGACTCACACAAGGTTGGTGGAAAAAGGCTAGACTAAATAAAACTCTGTGAGTGAGGAGGAATGGGGCAGTGAGTGCACAGTGGCCAGTATATCACACATCAAAGAAGTAAAAAAACTCTAAAATCTTCTGTTACATAGCAAATGCATAATGGTTTTCAAGAGATGCTGGGTGTTTCTTTGAGCATATCATCTCTCTGGATGGGTAGGGAGTGGCAGAGGGTCCTGGGCCCACTGGGAAAGGTGGCTCACTCAGCACGGGACCAGTGAACAATGGAAGAGAAGGTGCCAGGTTGTTATGGAGGCAGCTAGGGCTCTCATGGAACGAGAGCTCCAGGTACCATGATTACAAGGTCTCATGAAGGATGCATGGAGAGTGAGGTCTGTGGCGGCTGAAATAACATCCAGGAGACCCTTGAGCTTGGCACTGGGCAGAAGGTTATGGATTTTCAGATGCTCAGCATCTAGAAGCCAGGGAGATTGTTAATGGAGAGACTGCCACGAGGAGGAGGAGGAGGAGGAGATATAGAAGGGAATTAAGCTATTTAAATGGAATCTGCAGGACTCTGAATGGCTTATAATAGTACTGACAAGGCTCCCTGCCAATACTCTTCTACACATTTTACATGTACTGACTTTAGCTGGTCCTCTCCATAACCGTCTTATAGATGAAGCTGAACCCCAGAGTGTGAGGAACTCTGTCCTTAAACTTGGGAGAAGATTTGATGATTTCAACAGAAAAAAAGTTGATTAAGACTCTGAGAGAGCAAAAGGGAATGAGTAATGGGCACCCCTTTTTCAGGAATTTGGGACTCATGTGCCTGGGCAGTTCTGGCTCTGGTTCTCTTGAGAGGTATTTCATCTGCCCTTTGACCAAGGCTGGAGCCTCCATGCTTCCGCGCTGAGTACTCCTATGGCTGGTAGGCTGGGGCTGGCTCCGTGCTGGCTGTTGGTGGGAGGCCTCAGTTCCTCTCCATGTGGGCCTCTTCATAGGGCTTCTTGAGTGTCCTCACTACATGGTGTCTGGCTCTGCCAGGGCAGAGGCTGTGATGCCTTTTGGCCTGAGAAGTCACAACTTCCTCCTGTGCCATCTGCATTGTCACACAGACCAGCAATGATTCATTGTGCCAGGGGCACCTGGATTATTGAGGCTGTCTCAAAGGCTGACCACTACTTGATGTTGTGGTCCAGTCATGTGCTGCTGGGCCTGTGTGTGTGTGTGTGTGTGTGTGTGTGTGTGTGTGTGCAGGAAATTTCTTTACCTGCATCTCTGCTGATTCTCACTTACCCAGAGTCCTGAGGTCTTACCTGCCTTCTCCTTACCTCAGTCCTCGCTGCCTTCTTCTGGCTGGTTTCTGTTTGCACTTTTAATTTTGCATGAATGGCCCCTTGTTTGCAGTGGAAGTCTGTCTTAGTTAGAAAATATCTAGTCCCCTTTGCTTGTTGTGTCCATTAGAAGATGAAGAATACATATTTGTTTTGGTTGATACTTTCACAAACCTAGGAGGCATAGAATGACAGTTCCAAAAATAGATCTTGCAAAGATAACAACCTAATGACTAATGGAGTTCACTCACTGCCAGCCCTGGGCAAGCAACTTCTCTGTCCTCTCCTTCTTCAACCCTACATGAACCTTTATGATTTCAGTATTTTATAGTTGGCAGAGTGGCAAGATAGAGAGTCAAGAATTTCCTAAGCTCTCAGGTACTTCAAAGCTCCAAACTGGGTTTTTGGGCTTGTCTTTCTGACCTCTGAAGACTTGTTGTTTAGGCTCCATTTACTTCCATGTATAAACTTTGCAGTTTCAAAGCAGGGTCCCGTGAAGGATTCTGTTTGACACGATGATAGCTCTGTGAGAGGAAGCAGAGGCTCAGAGAGGTTCTGGGACTTGCTCAGGTCAACCTAGCTGATGCGGGCAGAGTCTGGATAGGAAACCCCAGTCAGATGTTCCTGGTATGCTGGCAGACTTGGGGGAAGTGAGGGAATGTATGTGATATCTCCCAGGAACTCCCCAGGGCAGCTGTGCTGGGATGGCTCACACATCCACTTCATTTCCGAGTGTCTCTCTGTCCTGCTGCCTCTGCCAGGGCAGCCTGCTCCTAGCCCCTGTGGAGCTGCTCCTCCGGCTTTTATGCCTCAGCAGCCCAGCTGCAGCCTCTGGGCGGGAGGGCCTGTGAAATCCGCATTGGTTCCAGCCCTACATCTGCATTGTTAGGGCCTCCCATGACACAGGCCTCACTCCCTTCACACAATGGCCCCTGTTGAAGGATTCCCCTGTAGGAATTTAGACATGAATTTATTCTGACAGTCCTTCTTAGGTTGTCCGGAAGTGGAAGCAGTGTGGAATCCAAATGCGTGACTTTCTCACTCATGTAAAGGCTCCAATCTGAATGCTTGGGGGGCGTTTTCGAGTTTCTTTTCTTTTATTCAGAGATCAGCGATCATTTCTAGGCATGCGTGAATGCTTTTTATTGCTCAGATTCTCTGCCTTTCTTCTGGAGGGATCTAACTTGGCTGAACACACCCCTTGAAAATACAATATGCTTGTAACTCTGCTCAAGAAGTTTCTGCTTGGGCCATCTAGCTGTTGCTAGCAGACAGGCGTTGTAACCTGGTTCTTTCTGTTTGATTTTGGTGCTGGGGACTGCATTCAGGACCTTGTGAATGCTAAGCATGCAGTCTGCCACTGAGCCACACCGCCATGCTCATCACTCAATTTTTACATGCCACTTCCTCACCGATTTCTGTCTAAATTCTGCCATGGGTCCTACGTGCACAAGCTCCCTGAGAGAGGCTGCTCAGAAGTCTCTTGTGCTGGACTTTTTCCAGGAGTGAGAGAATTTGGAGAATTAGAAAGTTATCGCTGCTCCGATTGCTTAACACACTCACATTCTTTTTCTTTTTTTTTTTTTCTCCAGCCTGCAAGTATTCCTGCCACAAGAAATGTGAAGCCCAGGTAAGCATTCCATGACTTTCCCATGGGACTTTTGGTGGTAGAGCTGGCCTTCACTGAATGATAGGCAGAGAAGGGGGGGGGGCTCTTTGGACCATGGCCACAGAAAGGAGCAAAGAGAGATGGCTTGTGAATACTTCTCGATGGGGTGTATGCATTTCATCTCCAGAATAAACTGAAGAGCTTTGAAATCCACGTTTTGAGTTCTAGAAAATAGTTCTTAAGAATTTGATTTCAGATAAGAATTCGGTGATTTTTCTCCTGCCGTACCACCAGCTCCTTTTCAGTGACAGATGATCCCTATGTTGGCAGGAGGCTTCCTGGGGCAGTGAGTGGGTGGGAATAGACAGGGCTCAGAGTCTACACGTAGCCTTAAAGTCTTTTCTGGCTCTTTTTGAGGGTGGTTATGCACAGGTTGGTTTTGTTTTTCAGTCTTCATGAAAATGTAGTAACCATGGAGTAGGAGGTACTTACACTGAGCTTTCATGTCTCTGTAGAGGTTTAATTGCTGAGTGACTGCTAGAAACCTGGCTGTGTCGGGTCACACTTGGTTCTGTGATGAGAGGTGAATGAAGGTGGCCTGAAAATGGGGGACACTGAGGAAGGAGCTTGTGATTTTATCCTGTGTCATGAGCTGGCACCTCCAGATTTCCTAGATGTGCTGTACATCTCAAATGCGGTCTCTGTTGACAGTCAAGCCCCACCTTTGGGGGTGTTGGCGGTCCTGGAAGGCTGCCTCGTGGCTACAGATCAAGGGAAATAGGTTTTATTTTGTTTTTTGGTTTTAGTACCAGGAGTTGAACCCAGGGGCTCTTAACCATTGGGCCACCTCCCCAGTCCTGTTTTTATTTTTTATGTTGAGACAATATCTTGCTAAGTTGCTTAGGACCTCACTAAGTTGCTGAGGCTGGTTTTTTACTTGAAATCCTCCTGCCTCAGTCTCCCAAGTCATTGGGACTACAGGTATGTGCCACTGTGCTTGGTGAAATAGGATTTTAAGGTCTTGGGATTTTGCTGCTCTTGTGGACCTCATGGGTCAGCTGTTCTAGAGAATTCCTACCCTGTCCAAGTGTCCCATCCTGAAGGCTATGAATGAAGCTGACTTCAGGATACCGTGAACTAGTTCTAATGTGCATTCTCTCCATGTGAGGACCAGAGGGCTAGTTT